AGAAAGGGGTACACTCATCCATTGCTGGTGGGAATGCAAACTTGTGCAACCACTCTGGAAAGCAGTGTGGAGGTTTCTCAGGAAATTTGGGATCAACCTACCCATGGACCCAGCAATACCACTCTTGGGAATATACCCAAGAGAGGCCTTATCACACAACAAACGTATATGCTCTATTATGTTTATAGCAGCATTGTTTGTAATAGCCAGAACCTGGAAACAACCTAGATGCCCTTCAATTGAAGAATGGATGAAGAAAGTATGGAATATATACATATTAGAGTACTACTCAGCAGTAGTGTGAGATCTTGAATTTTCCTTTCGTTAGACGCAGAGCCTGAACATCCAGGAAAAGGCATAAGGTATCCTTGGTGGCCAGGTGTGGTAGTAAATCCCTGTAATCCCCAAACTGGGAAAGCGGAGGCAGGAGGATGGTTGAGTTCCTGGGCAGTCTAGGCAACTGAGCGATATCAAGGTCAGTGTAGACCACACACACACACACACACACACACACACACACACACACACACACCCCTTTGTATTACAAACAAACGAACAAACAAATAAACAAAGAGTAGGTCAATCTTGGTGCGCCTATAGGTCAGGATGGACCAGAAACAATGAGCCTTCAAATCAGTGGTTCTCAACCTGTGGGTCTTGACCCCTTTGGGAGCAACGCTTTCACAGCTTTCACAGGGGTCACCTAAGACCGTTGGGAAATGGAAACACAGATACATTATGATTAGTTGTAGTAGCTAAATTACAGTTATTAAGTACAACAAAATAATTTTATGGTTGGGGGAGAGTCACCACAGCATGAGGAGCTGTATTGATGGATTAGAGGCATTAGGGAGGTTGAGAGGTTGTTTGGAACATCCATTCACCCACGAATGTACTGCTCATAATAGGCAGAGAGCAGGACAAGATCCAGCTCCTGTCCTTGAGCCAATGTGGCTGTGGAGGGATTTCGTTTCCTCCTTGTCATTTGGGAAAGATGAGCGCAGTGGGCTCAGAGCAGACTCTCCAGGTCAGCAGCACGGTGACCTTGGCCAAAGGACTCACCTCCTATCTGTAAAGCACCGATAACAGAAGTATTTTATTTATAGAACTGAGAAGGTCCAAGGGAGCTGAGGACAAGTGCTTTGCAGGGTCTCTGTCAGTAGTTAGGATGGGTGGTGTTGCTATTGTCATTGTGACCTTTTGTGTGCGTGTGCGTGTGTGTGTGTGTGTGTGTGTGCGCATGTGTGCGCACCCGCGTGATGCCTTGCATCATGTGGCCTGCATGTGGTTGATTAGTTATATTTCTGGCACATTTAGTAGAAACTGACTAGGACTCTTTTCCACTTAGCAGGTTTTTAACCCTATGGAGCAGATCATTTTAGTCACTGCGGCTTTTATTTTTCCCTTAATAAAATGTCTCCATAACATTTAGTCTTAGCTGTAATAAGTGGGCAATTGATGTCTAAAATAATGCCACTAGGCGTCAGGTAACTGCAGACCCAATAGTAGTGCCAAGACCTGTTCTGAGCACCTGACTTAGTTCCTGTAGCTTTTTAAAAAGATAAGTTAAATATTCATACAGATTTTTTGGATTTATATTCTGATAGTCTTTATTTAAAATGTATACATTTCCAAGAAAAGCTATACAGATTAGGTTTAGGAATAAAAGGCTATGCAAAAGTTTTGTTTATACTTATTCTTCTTTCACAAAGCACCGTTTATGACATTGTTGGATTTAACTGTAAACTTGATGTCCTCAAACTGTTGCTAATGAGTGAAAACTCTTACCTCTCTCTCTCGAGGAACCTGAACAGATAGATATGGAGCAGTCTCTCCAAGTGTGGTTGGGTTTAGGGCCTAGGTTTTGAAGACACTCGTCTTTGAAATGTGGCAACAGTTTACTCTGCCGTCTTGTACGCTGAGGTTGGTAGTTACCTGTACTAGTCACGTCTTCCATGGTTCCCCCATCCTCTGTCCAACATCAGACTGATCCCCTGCCATGTCTCTGTTTTCACACAGCTCTTTAGCATAAGGGTCTGTAACTGTGGCTCCTGACTCCCCCTTGGCACGTCACTGATTTAAAGAGAAGAGCAGCTCCCGGGCAGGGGCGTTGGCTCAGTCTGAGAATCTGAGAGTGAGAGCCTGCCTGTTGGAGAGAGCCTGTCTGCATTTGGTCTCAGGGCACTGTGTCAAAAGCTGAGCATTGTGATGCGCGCCTGTGTACATGGTGCTGGGGAGCTGGGATGCAGAAGATTTCTGGGGGCAGTGGAGACTGCTTGAGAAAGGAAGTTACCCCATGTTGGCCTTTGGCCTACACATTCCTGCTGTGTCCGTACACATGAACATGTTTCTCTCTCTCTCTCATCTCCTTCTCTCTTCCTTCTACTCTTTCTCCACCCTCTCTCTCTCACACACCATCAAACAGTTAGAAAACAACTCTTTTATTTTTGCATCAGTTAAAAATGCTGCAGCAGCAGGTGAATTTTGTTGGTTTTGATAAACCGGAAGTCTTGGCCTCACTTCCATGAGGATGATGTTTACTGAGGCTTCTCAGACAACCAGAGAACCTGACTGAAGGGAATATAAATTTCTTCCAGGAGCCAGGGTAATCCTAGATCAACTCCTTGGCAGGACCAGTCTCTTAGCTGCCTTACATTATGGCCTGTTCCCTTCTGCTGTCCTTGTGATGGAGAATTTGAGACACAGCAGGCTATGTAACTTGTCTGGGGGAGAATACAGACCAGTGATGGCCCAATTCAGTGTCCAAGACCTTTGGGCTGGCAGAATTCACTTCCCTTTCTTAGGACATTTCTGTCTGGTGTGTCGAGAGGTTCTGCACTAGTGTGAGCACTGCACAGCCGAGGTTCTTCACTAGTGTGAGCACTGCACAGCTGAGGTTCTGCACTAGTGTGAGCACTGCACAGCTGAGGTTCTGCACTAGTGTGAACACTGCACAGCCGAGGTTCTGCACTAGTGTGAACACTGCACAGCTGAGGTTCTGCACTAGTGTGAGCACTGCACAGCTGAGGTTCTGCACTAGTGTGAGCACTGCACAGCCCTGGCGGCAGATGCATGAGTAAGCTCACTTCTAGATGGGCCAGTGATTTACCCAGATTTGCAGTGAATTGCGGAGCCTTCTGAAGCCCCAAAGCTACATCGTTCTGCTGTTTGTGGCCAGCCTGTGCTGTGTCTGCTGTTCTGCAGTAGAGGGCAGTACTACATTGACGTTTGCCTTGTGCCTCTGGGAAAAGATGTATTCTAAAAAGAAGGCAGTGGTTCTAATTCAAAAGGTGTGGCTTGGCGGCGGCAGCTCAGAATCTTTTATTTTGAAACGGACCCACTGCACCATCCATGGCTCATTTTATGTACTTGATTTTAACCAAAAGACCGAGAAAGGATGTGGCTCATTTTCTGTTTACATAGATAGCCAAATAGAACCTAATGCTGGAAATGATGGGTAACTGAATGAGCTGGAACAAAGGCATGAATTTGATGTACAAATTGAATAGTTAGTCTATGTGTAAAAGTGAGAAACCCAAGCCTAGGACGTTGGATCTTTCGTTTTAAGTGGACTCAGAATTAACATGTATCAGTTTTAAAATGTAAGGTTTAGTGGGCTCAGGAGATGCTTCAGCAATTAAGAGCACTTGCTGCTCTTGCAGAGGACCAGGGTTTGGTTCCCAGGATGCACATGGTGGCCCATGACCACTTTCAGGTCCAGATCCAGAGGATATGGGGCCCCCTTTTCTTGCCTTTGCAGACACCAGACACAAACATGGTGCATATGCATACACGCAGGCAAACACTCGTACATATAAACCAAAATCCTTTAAAAGGCAAGACCTAGGTTTAGCTACTTGAGGTAATTTCTCCCAAACAGAGCTATCTGTAGGACTCATGCCACCTGAGATTCGGGTATTTAAAGAGGCGCAGTAATGTAAGGTCAGCCTAAGCCCAATTCTGGTCCGCCTCCCTTGTACCAGCCCATTGCCGGGAGGTGGTGATTCTACGGCTCAGTGAAGCAGGGCTTCTCTGCACCATCTGGGGAATGTCACAGACACGGAGCATGCTTGACTGAGAACACCTACAAGTACATACACGGAAACCCTGCAAGAATGCTGTGAAACCAAACGGCTGAAAAGCCCTTTTCCGAATGTCGCAGCAAAGCGCTCGCTGTGAAACAGCTGCACTCCTTGCTCACGTGGCCTGCATCAGCGTTTTCTTTGGCAGAGAGGCCAGGAGGTTGGAGCGAGTGGCGTGTAGCCCTGCACCCGACTGTTGTCCGGTTCCTCCTCACAGGGCGATCCTTGGCTTTGCCAGGCGCCTCCGACAAAGCTGCCTGTGAGCTGTCGACTGCATTCGCCTTTCTTTCTGCCTTGTTTGATTGATCTTCCCTCCCCCTCTTGTGTTCCCCAGAACATCTCGCTTTGCCTCATTCCCTGAATACTTGGTAGTGCAGATAAAGAAGTTCACTTTTGGTCTTGACTGGGTTCCCAGAAAATTTGGTAGGTATCCTTTGCATGCTTTTGCTTAAACTGTCGAGTGAGCCACTTAACAAGACATGGCATGTGAAAGAGGCCGTCAGGACCCCTGCCCCCATCACACCCATCCCAGTGTTTCTCTGTCACTCCCACCTTTCACTGGTTTCACAGCCTGCTAGAAATACTGACAATAAGAAATGCCACGTGCTGACCACCCCTTCACGGCTGCACTCTGGAGGGACCGGGTTCTAAGAGGGAAAGTGCGGTCCTCACGGTGGCGCATCCTGTCACTTGGGACCTTTGGGAAACGCGGATGCTAACTGGCAGATGCAGGGTGGGCTGAGAGACTGTGTTTCTAACCCACCCCACTTTTCTCCGGACTCACACCCTTGGGTTGCCATGAGTACTCTAGATACCACACTTGGAGTGGCGGGGGGGGGGGGCTGGGGAATGCAGGAACCAGAGATTCGCCCCCTCACAC